CTAACCCTCGACTTTGAAATTTTATATTCTGCCCAGACGCGTTCTTTTTCCCGAACGCGAGACTACTATTGCGAATGGGATGCACAAATAAATCTACTGGCCAACTTCCTCTTTCACGAAGACGAGGTCCACTTGCGAACGCATAGCTCACACTGGTAGATCATACGCGAATGCGAAGACCAACGGGTCCATACCTTCGTAAACGCGGGACCTCATCGCGAATGCGAAGCATGATTCAACTGCTTCACCCAGATGCTCTACGCGAATGCGAGACCCTCTCGCGAACGTGATGAATATTTCCTCTACAACACAACAGCAGAAAATCTACAATCTTTCCAAGTCTAAAAATGGTCCGTTGAGCATCCGAAACACATCCAAGGCCCCCGAGACCTCAACCAAACCTGCCAACCAATCCTAAAACATCATTCAAACTTGTTCCAACCTTCGGAACTCTCAAAACAAAATCAAAACACCTATTTTTCATCTGATTCAAGCCTAAGAATTTAAAAAACTCTAAAAATACACTTTCGATTAAAGTCTATCAAACCTCGTCCGAATGACCTGAAATTTTGCACACACGTCACATTAAACACTACGGAGCTACTCCAACTTCCGAAATTCAATTCCGACCCTCGGATCAAAATCTCACTATCGAACTGAAAACTTCAAAAATTCAACTTTCGGCATTTTAAGTCTAAATTAGCTACGGACCTCCAAAACAAAATCTGAACATGCCTCTAAGCCCAAAATCACCCAACGGAGCTTATAGAACCATCAGATTTCCATTCCGAGGTCGTTTTCATACTATTCCAACTACGCCCAACTTTCCAACACTTAAGCTCTCATTTAGGGACTAAGTGTCCCAAAACTCTCAGAAATTCAAAACCGAACATCCCGGCAAATTAAAATAGCAAAAATAAACTTGGGGAAAGCAGTTAATGAGGGATCGGGGCGTAAATTCTTAGAACAGTCGGCCGGGTTGTCACAACTGTTGTCTTCGCATTTTCAAAGAATTAGTCGCACTTGCGACTCAACCCGTTTCGCATTTGCTATTAAAAGAGTCGCATTTGCGATCAAGGCCTGCCCGGATTGGTTCGCATTTGTGACGCCTGGGTCGTAATTCCCAAGCCTCAGAACTTCGCAATTACGAAGCCTGGCCTGGGCAAAAATACTTGATACCAACAATCTTTCCTATGTCCAATTCACTCTATGTCCTGTCCAAAACTCACCCGAGCCCTCGGGGATCCAAACCAAACATGCACACGAGTCCAAAAATATCATACGGACTTTCTCATGCGATCAAATCATCAAAATATAACAACCATGAATTAAACCTCGAATTTATAAAATTACTCAAGAACATCAAAATTCCTATTTTCTCAACTATACGTCCGATTTATACCAAATCAATTCCGTTCTTTACCAAATTTTACAGATTCGACTTAATTATTATTTTAAACTTGTACCAGGCTCTGGAACCAAGATACTGGCCCAATACCATCAAGAAATTACATCAATTCACTTCTAAAAGCCTTTATATTTTCCAGCAAATAATTTTCTTTAAAAATTCTTTTCTCGGACTTGGGACCTCGAAATTCGATTTTGGGCATACGCCCAATTCCATATTTTACTACGGACCCTACGAAATTGGTGGATTACAGATTCAGGTCCATTTTTCAAGAAGATTGAACAAAGTCAACTTTAATCAATTGTAATGGCCATTTTCCTTATTTTACTTAGTTTTCGCATAAAGTTTTTTGGAAACACACTCGGACTGTGCACTCAAATCGAGGTGAGACAAAAAGAGGTTTTTAAGGCCTCGGAACACAGAATTTACTTTTAAAACGAGTATATTTGGTCCGAGCATTTGACGACAAGGGTATAATTGCTACCAATATTTAACGAAGGTTAAAAGTAGCCTTTTCAGACAGTTTAAGAAAATTTCGGCCCTTTTTCGTTTCTTTTAAAATTGTCCCTTCTAAAGAAAAATTAAGTCAAATCACCAATAACTTTTTTGGGTCATCCCTACAAAAAGAAAAATGAAGAATTAACCTAAATAGAAACTCACACAATTATTTTAACTAAAAATAGCGATGAATGTATAATATACGTTCTGCTATTTTATAAGAGGGAGTTAGCACATAGCTGGATGACATGTCTACTTGGGGTTTTGAGGGTTATTTGGTCATTTCAATTGAAATGGAACTATATGATTGGTTGATAGAGAATCTTACGGTAGACACCTTTAAACCTTTTGAGGACTTTGACAAGTTTAGACCTCTGCTTACATCGTCAACCATCACCACACTCTTTCTTTGTACTAACTTACATCGACCCCACATCCCACCCCATCCAAAGGAACAAAAAAACCTCACATTTGACAAATCACTTTGCTAAATTCAGTGAACAATTTATAATAGATAATGCTTTCGGCTCTCAAGCATAAATATGCTTATCTGATCGTTAACGAATTATTTTGGGATTATGTTAAAAATATACTGAATACACCTTAAATTATTTTCAGTTTCATGTAATTTTTATTATCAATACTAATAAAGAAGATATCATTTCGATCCGTTTTGGTACCTGTAACAAAAGGAAAATTACTATGCACTATTATACTGTTCATTTTCTCAATAAATTTAGTGGTACATTCTCTTTGATTAGTAGGGACTAACTTAAAGTTTTATTAACTTAAAAATCCTTGAAAATGTAGTTAACTACTAATAAGTATTGATAAGGCAGACAATTATATTATACTCTATCCAATAGATCAATCACGTAAAATGAGACTAATTTGTCAATTTCAAATTAGATTTTATTTTAAGGTCCATTTCATTAATTTCTATAACTAACGATAATATTGTTAAATATATTATTTATGGAGTAAGTTTTACCGCAAGTAAAATAATGTACAGACTTAATACTTTAGAAACTTACACGTTTCATTGTAAGAAAATAAAAAGTATTATTTTATTTACCACTTTCTATGTTGAGTAACCTGTTATGATAAAATACGGTAACTTATTTAATAGAAGAAATCTAGAAAAAATCAAATATAGCATATTCAAATTTGGAGAAATATTAAAAATATTAAAGAGCATAAGATAAATTATTACATTTACAATTATAGAAGTTTATAGTGCATTTTATTTTGAAACAATAATTAATTAATTTAGAGCTTAATATTGTAGAAACTACATATATTTACTATAAATGGATAGATTCATTCTTACATTTGATGGATAGACTTGTGATATCAAAACGAGATATTAAATGAGCAATCGAAACCTATTGAAATGATTTTTAATTGAGATTATTTTAAGTTCTATGGGTAGAATATCTAAGTGAAAAAGAATATCATCGATGTGAATTGAACCATATGAGCAAGACATCTAAAATATAGATAAAGTAATTCTAGCACATATTAGCTAAGCATATAAGTACCACATAGCATACGGTTGTATAACTTAAAACCCTATAAGCATAGTTTTTTTTAACCATAGGACATATTAAAATATAAAGAGAGGAGAATGCAAAATAATACTCTCCAAAAAGCACTCTTGAATGAATCCTCAACCCTATGAATCTTCACATACAATACCACCTAAACTACCTGATATTGATCAACCAACACCAAAACAGTGTGGTGTGGAGACCAAATCGTCGTTTAAGGATATGCTAATATCCTCAGACCCAATGAACTTTGCACCAAACGTGAGCCAATCTAACATCGAGTTGTCAGAGATTGTCCCAGAGGAAGAAGAATCACTAGACAAATTAATGAGCTCTTCCGCACGAGGCATTAGACTGATCACACTTATAGATGAGGATAAACAAAGAATTTATGAGTCATGGTGTGAGCACGTGATTTTTCCCCAACTAGAAATACTCCCAGAAAATTAAAAAATATGTTTTCTAAATTATTTTTAGTTTTATAGGATTTTGTAGGATTTTCATAATTAATTGTTTGTATTTTTTGTGCACATTTAACATCTTTGAAATCTTTCATGCATTGCATTTTAGGTTTTGTGTTTGTATTTTAGAATTAAATTGTTAATTAATTGCTTTATTAATAAAAATCACAAAAATATTGTTCATTTTTACATTTTTTTAGTTTCTATTTTTAAATTAGTAAGTTCCTCCATCAGTTATAAAGTTAATTAATTGTTCAAATATCAGAAATAGTTAATTAGGTTTATTTCATAATTTAGATTTGATTTAGAACCTAATTCAGATTTCTAAATTAATTAATTTAGGATTTAAAATAAAAGGATAAAAGTAAATACAAAGAAGAGGAATTAAAGAAGTGTGTTAAAACTGGCCAATGCTTAAAATGGCCTAAACAATGCCTAATTCCGCCAAATTTTATGCCAAATCCTCAAAGATCTGACCCAGTCCCTCTTAAATACCAAACGACGTCGTTTGGCTAGCGTTTGATCTAAGTTGTTCAACTTCTTTAACCCTACGGCTAAGAACTGGCCTCTCCACCCCTTAAAACTGTCTGAACCTCCTTCCACCCCAAAAACCCTAAAGGCCCCCTCATTCAGTCTCTCATCTCTCTCACTCTAACTAACCCTAGCCGCCCCAAACCCTTCATTGTCTCCGCCGTCCTCCGCCGTTCAGAAATCGCCTCACAGTGGAAGACCACCTCCAATCCCACCCAAATTCACACCAGACAACCATCACAATTTCCTCATCTCGTATCTACCATCGATTTCCCTAAAATACCCACCCATCTTCTCCAATTTCAGATATAAAAATATAGAAAAACCTAATCTTTCCTTCTTCTGATTTCATTGGCGGTACCAACTCGTTTTGGCCTAAAACGTATGTTAATCGATTTCTCTTGTCAAGAGCAATCGATTAACATTAGTTTCGGCTCATTTCAAAGTCGTCAAAATTTTACCAAATCACCACTGACCGGCCAAACTTCGTCGTCATCACCGTTCGTTGGCTTACCTCATTCATCATCACGTTCTCGGCCAAAATCAGTATACCTTTCTCCTCATAACACTTTGTTTCTTTTTCTATTTTTGAATTGTCATTTAGGTGTTAATCTTGATTAGTTTGGTTATTGATTCGTTTAATTTTAGTAGAAATAGGTTTATTTAGTTAATTGCATTGTTTAGTTTAATTACATGTGTTTAGGCTAATTAAATCAACTTTAGTCAACTCAGTAGATTAGTTAGGTTTTAATTAATGGATTGTTTCTGTTTTGGTTTATCTCTGATTTTTACCTTAATTATTTGAGTTTAGAGGTTTGAATGCCAATTGGAAATTAGGAGGGTGAACGGGTAATAAACAGAACTTGAAGGGGTTAATTTGGAAGAAAAAATGGATACACTTTAGGTAAAAATATTAGAAAGTTCTAGTATTGGACAGTTGTCCCTCTTTTTGGCGTGAAAATGCTGAAATTGGGTAAAAGGACATACAACTGTACCAAATCTACTAAAAAAAGATGTTGTACTATCCTATTTTACAACTGACATTTTCTGATTTTTAGGGTAGAATATTCCCTATTATGCTTATCTTTGTGCATTGTATATACAGAACAGACTCTCACTCACTCATAAAGACATTCTAATCAGCACACTCACTCTAAAAAGCATCCTTGAATACTGATTTTTGATTTGTCTCTTCAGTTTTTCTTTTAGTGGGATATAGAAACGGAAAAACCAAAAAAACAATTCTCAAGGTTGTATGTCTTTTCCTGCTGATTCACTCCATTATGCTGGGAATTTGTGTTTGATTGTGGGTTCCTGTTTCTTGCTGGTTGTTGTTGTTTTTTTCTGCTATTCTTTGCTATTTGCTTCTTTTTCAAAGCTAGAGATTTGTTTTCTATTCTAGTCTATCTTGCTATAATCAGGTACTCATCTTAAATCTAAGTTTCTGTTTTGGCATGAATGAGTTGATTTCTTTATTTGTTCCATTAAATCCTGATCCTCCATCATCACTTGCTGATTTTCCTTATGTTTAGCATGTTAATCAATAGATCTTATTTCAGTTAAACTCATGAGTGTTGCTCTGTTTATTTGGTGTGAAAAATGGAAAAAAGCATGACTCCATTACTCTACTATTTGATTACTTGAATTGATATGTTTATTTTTGTAACTTTGAGTATATTTCTGAGTTAAATGTCATGTTGTGAATTAGTTGATTATAACATGGGAGCTGATCTAGATTGTTTAACTCTAAACATTAGCTTAAATAGCCTTTAATAATATCTGAAGCATGTAATATCAATTATTAATTTTTTTAAGTTTGAATACTGTTTCAGCCCTGTTTTAGACCATGCAGATTCAGTTCAAAAGAGTTTTTACTGTAGTGTTGGTTTATGTGGATTTGTGTTGGAGTTTGGAATGTAAAAGAGATGGTTTGTCACTGGATATGTGGCTATGGCTTGCTAATCTTACCACCAGTTGGGTCAGATTGGTGAACTCTAAAGCTAAAGGATGCATTTGGAGTCATCTATGGAGGGAGATTAAGTAGAAGATTGACTATTCTATGAACCATTCTTGTATAAATTTTAAAGTTATATTTGTTACTGTATTACCAGATCTGTAAATATTAGAATATAGTTGATTTGTTATGTTAACTCAAAGGGGTCAGTTTGTCCATTTTCACTAGTTTTTGGCAAATTTAATTCTGAAAGTTTGAATGAGTTACTACCAATTTTGTTTTCCTCTCTCGTCGTTTTAATCCATCGTTGGTTTGAAGGAGAATACCAATGTTTAGTTAGTTTAAGAATTGAAATATTTAATGAATTCACATTTTTGTTTAAGTTATTCGAATATTCATGTATCATGTCATTATTGAGCTGGTAATTCTTTAATTGCGGTAGATAATTTATGGGTGTTAGATCTTAATTAGCTATTTAGGATTAATGTAAACATAGGAATTATTATTTTGGCCATGGAGCTTTAAAATTGATACGGGCCCTGGTAGTTGTTTAAGTAGAATATTTTTGGGCCGCTAATTCCTTTAACTCTTGGCCTTGATCTCAAACCTTAGGAAACATTAACTTATAAACACGTGTAGAATGATTTAGGCGCATATAAATAAATCATCACAACTACGGGTATGGTTCCCGTAACATAGTTGTGATACATAATTCTCAAATATGGGTGCACATTTCATGTGACCCGACCACAACTTCGAACAATAATAAAATTCACATGTTGTAGATCGTGGGTACGATTCCTGTGACACGATTCACAACGTGTACAAAAACAAATAAGTGTACGACAATCGTAACTTGTTCCAGAAATAATTCCATAAATAAATAAAAGCGGTTATTAAGTTAAAAATACACAATAGGTTTAAACCTCGTAGTAAATCAGATAATTAGGCCAATTATTAATAGTTGAATGACCATGCTAAAACCACGGAACTCGAAAGTTCCTCACACCTTCTCCCGGGTTAACAGAATTCTTTACCCGGTCATCTGTGTTCGCAGACCATAAATATAGTCAAACTTTCCTCGATTTGGGATTTAAAATAAACCGGTAACTAGGGACACCATATAATTATGTCAAGTGGCGAATCTAAAATTAAATAAAATAATCTCATTTCGATTAATGTCACTTAAATTTGAAAAACTCCCTATATTCCCTTTTGGGTAAAACGGAGGTGTGACAACTCTTGCGACTCTGCTGGGGAACGAACCCAGAATCTCTAGTTCAGGGTTGAAGTATTCGAGCTTAGAATAACTGTTATACTTGGCTTTTATTTATTATCTGATTCTTATTACACGTTAGATCCTAATGTGCTAAATGCCGCTTTTTAACTCTTTGATATTGTTTGAACTGTATATAAACTGTTACGAAACCCTTCTTCTCTTTGAGTCTTCTAAATCTTCTGGGAAGTGCACGCTGGCGTAACTTCTTTTCTGTTAAAGTCATACACCAATTTAGAATGTGGTTCAGATCAGTTACAAAGTCGGATAGCCTTTTGGTTACCGGTACGTTGCCCCCCTCGGCTCGAGTTATCCGCTGGGGGTAAGCTAGGTCTAGAACAATACACCCAAGTTTTAGACCTAGAATAACATAGCCTCATGCCGGATCCTGTAACGACCCGGCCTGTCGTTTTGAGAGTTATAGCCCCATTTCCCCCATCTATGCTTCTTTATGTATTGTTTAGTTGTGTTGAGTTGTATCGAGTTGGTAGGTTTGGGTTCAGAGTAGTTCTGGAGTGAAATGAACACTTAGTCTCTTAGTTAGAAAGCTAAGTTTGAAAAGTCAATCGGAAATTGACTTATGAGTAAACGAATTCAGATTTGAATTTTTATGATTCGATTAGCTTCGTTGGGTGACTTTAGACTTAGGAGTGTATCCGGAATATAATTTGGAGGCCTGTGGTAGAATTAGGCTTGAATTGGCGAAAGTTGGGAGTTTAGAAGTTCGGAGTATAGAAGTTCTTAGGCTTGAATTCAAGATTGATTTGGTGTTTTGGTGTTGTTTTGGGTATTCTGGAGGTTTGACTAAGTTAGGGTATTGATATATGACTTGTCAAAATATTTGGTTGAGGTCCCGAGGACCTCGGGTGAGTTTTGAATAGGTTTGAGTTGTGTTGCGCTCGTATTTCTTATAAATGATATCATATTGAACAAATGAGCTCTGATTTTATTTTTTTATTGAAGCATTAGATCCGTATTGTAATTACGGACCCGTAAAAAAAGAATGATCTCATTGGGACATCGTATGAGGATTTTAGGGTCATTTTACCAAGAATTAGGTTGCCAAATTTTTAAGATTAATTACGAAATTGCCAATAGCAGCGTATTTAAAAATCTGCATTATTTGCAAATATTAAAACCTACATATCTCATTCATTATAAGATCAGATTAAGTGATTCAAAAGCCTAACTTGACTAGAATTTCACAAAAAATCTATTAGAGGCATAAAATACGAGTTTCAGGATCGTTCGGTATGAGAAATGAGGCAGAATAGCTGGCAGAAAAATATATAAAACTAGGGTTTGTTCATTCGGTCATATTTTAGTTGGGGAGCTCGGATTTGGGCAATAATTTAGGTGATTTTCACCATATGGATTGGGGTAAATATTATCTACTCAGTTTTGGTTATATTTGATGAATTGATCATCGTTTTTGGGATTTGATTGATAATTTCAAAGTGAAATTGAGGGAGTTAGAGTTAGAGTTTTAGAGAGTTTTAAGTGAGGATTTGAGGGATCAAACGGAGTCCGATTTTGATAAATTTTATATGGTTAGAATCGGGAGAGAATGAGGTTTATGATTCTGCCATTTTTAACTGATTTCGAGACATGGACTCGGGGGCCGGATTTTGGCCATTTTCGGATTTTTGGCATATTTTGTAGTTTTTATTGTGGAATTCGATTCTTTAGCACATGGTGATAGTATTAATCTAATTATGGTTAGATTCGGAGATTTTGGAGACCGAGTCCAGAGACGAAGGCATTCCGGAGTAGGATTTTATGCGGTTGAGGTAAGTAATAGTTTTAACTCTGGCTTTGAGGGTATAAACACGGAGAATTTGATATCATGTGATTGTTTGGAGGTGATATCCACGCTAGGTGAAGAGCGTGTGGGTGTATACTTGGAGGGATTGAGACTTGGTCTGTCCCGTGAGGTTGCGAGGCCTAATAGCTATTATTTGTGGTTATGTGTTTACTTGTTGTTGAACTTGTTTGCCTTCATGTTAGAGATCATGCTTAGGCTTTATTCATTCTCACATTATTTGCACTCAGTCATAAAAATTATTGTACATGTTTACCTCAGTCTCTATTATTTGCTAATATGTTGTGATACTTGATGTGAGTTGTGTTCCCTTATTTGTTGATGATGGCGAGGTTAGTGAGGTACATGACTGAGTGAGGCCGAGGGCCTGGTTGTGAGGATATTAATGCCATAGCGCGTGAGTTGTCCGCGTAGCACGTGTGTTGACCATGCGGGCCCAGGTATTTATACCATAGCGCATGAGTTGTCCTTGCGGATCTAGGTATTGATCTGATGGCCCGGTTGTAAGGATATTAATACCATAGCGTGTGAGTTATCCGCGTAGCACGTGAGTTGACTGTGCGGGTTCAGGTATTTATGCCATAGCGCATGAGTTGTCCGCGTTGCACGTGAGTTGACCGTGCGGATGCAGGTATTGATATGGTAGCACGTGAGTTGTCCGTTCTTAGCGCTTGGGCTTTGGGAGCCCCTCCTGAGTTTGTACACACTCCCAGTGAGCGCAGTGTGTTGAGTGTATTAAGTGTTGAGTGTTGAGTGCTGAGTGCGAATGTTGAGTGATGGAGTGACATTGCTGTGAAGTTGCATTTACTTTTGCTGTTGCTGCATTTATCTGTTAGATTTTTTTTTGGTATTTACTGAGTTATGGAATTTACCTGTTTATTCATGTCTATTTTTTTAAAATTGTGAAAATAAATAATTGGTCTGTTTTACTTAGCTTGTCACTACTGCTTAGTTCCTTAGTTATTTTTATTACTATTGAGGTGGTTGTACTCATACTATACCATGCACTTTATGTGCAGATCCAGGTGAGTTAGAGCGTGGCGATCGTTGAGTTCAGGTCGGCTATCTGTGGAGATTGCATGGTAGCTGCTAGTGTCCGCAGGACCTTGTTATTCCTCTTGTCATTTCTTCTTTTGGACAGTTAGACAGTTTACATATCTTAGTTTATAGTTTTACACGCTCATGACTTAGTGACACCCCGATGTTTTGGACTCGTTTCAGTATTTTTCTATATTATATTTAGAGTTGATTTAGTTTGTGAAAAATTTAAATGTTGAAATAATTTATTAATTTCGTATAATCGGTTTAGTAGTAATATTTTAGGAAATAGGCTTGCCTTGTAATACGATAGGCGCCATCACGACCATGGTTAGAGTTTGGGTCTTGACAAGTTGGTATCAGAGACTAGGTTACATAGTATCAAAAGTCATGAGCGGGTTTAGTAGAGACTTGCAGATCGGTATGGAGACGTCTGTATTTATCTTCGAGATGCTACAGAACCTTTAGGAAAACTTCACCTTCTTGATTTTTTATAGTGCGATATTGATTTAGCTTGAAGTGTAACTCTTTAAATTCCTTTCAAACATTCGTATGAGCACATGAGTGCTCTGTATTAGTTATGAATTGACGGATTGTGATTCCCTAGATGAGGTACGAGATATGATTTCTGTGTGCTTTGATGTTGGGCAAGTCTGGAGGATCTAAGGTAGGTTTTGACCGTAGATTTAGCACTAAGGTGTTGATTGTGTGAGCGCGTGCTTGTGGACTTATATGTTCGGTAGTGTCCCTATTTTATGAAAATAGTGGCTGGATGGAGACGTGATGAGTATGGCGTGACCGTGAGATTGAATGTGACGAGAAGGTATTGCTGAAGGTTTCACCTATATGAGACTCCAGGTATGTTTTTAGACTCGCTCGAGTACGAACGTTTGTTTAAGAGGGGGAGGATGTAACAACCTGGCTTGTCATTTTGAGAGTTATAGCCCCATTTCTCCCATCTATGTTTCTTTATGTATTGTTCAGCTATGTTGAGTGTTCCTCCCCCAAATCATCAATCAAATCCCAAAAACGCTAATGGATTCATGAAATATAACTAAAACCGAGTAGAGATATATGACTTGTTAAATTTTTTGGTTAAGGTCCCGAGGACCTCGGGTGAGTTTTGGATAGGTTTGG